GATGGATTCGGGAGAGACTTGGGAAATACTGTGGAATCAAGGCTTACAAATTCTTTATACAATTTTCCTTTCCACGGTGTGATGGACACCATGGTCTAATAAAAATTCCAAAATGTCTTTAAACCAAATGGTTTAGCCTCTTCACATTTCTTGTGGATTCTAAAGGGTTATATTTATTTGAGACTGGGGGGGTCCTGGATCAGTAACAGAAATTCAAAAATAGTTGATTTTTTTAAAGGGTAACCGATTAGGAATAACTTTTTTTTTTTTTTTTGCGTTGTGGTGTAATGCTGTTTGTGCTCTATCTACCCATCTATCAGTATATAAGTGTAAAAAAGTAGGACATTTTTCATCATTGGAAAATTTCAAGGTCAAACTGGATGACTATCAGGTATGCTTTAGAAAAGATGTTAAAAGGGGCGCCCAGGTGGCTCAGTTGTCAGGTGTCTGCCTTTGGCTCAGGTCATGATCCCGGGTTCCTGGGATCGAGTCCTGCATTGGGCTCCCTGCTCAGCAGGAAGCCTGCTTCTCCCTCTCCCACTCCCCCTGCTGTGTTCCCTCTCTCGCTGTGTCTCTCTCTGTCAAATAAATAAAATCTTAAAGAAAAAAAAAAAGACATTAAAAGGAAACTTGACTAATGTGACCTCTCAAGTCCCCTTTATCTTTAAATTCTGTGCTCTGAAGTTTACCTTCTAATCTTATGGTGGTGATGCTCCGTATCAGAAGGATAGGTGTGTTTTCTGGCTACCTTCCTCACTTTGCCTTGAACCCGCAGCTTCTGTGAGGAAATGGAGTGGGTGGGAGAGTATTCCTAGGAGAGCTGGAACTGTCCAGCAGTGGAAGGAATTGCCCATACTCTAGGTTCCAAGCAATGAGACTTACGGCAAGTTGGAGCAGGGCATCTGCTAAGCCATTCTTGACCACGAAAGGAGCATGTATGCATTCCTGTATGCAGAAGTACTGCATGTGGTGCTTACTCATCCCCATCCCAAGGAGATCTTTCTGTTTTCTATATTGCTTTTCATTTAAAATGGGGTCAATGGTCTTTTGATTTGTGTAGGAAAAAAAGAAAGTACAAGGGATAGATAGAAGAAGAGTTGAAGAGGACAGAAGGCAAAAATAGGGCTATTACATTGTACCAGCAGGTTTCGGTTTGTTAATTTCAAACTATTTAGCCGAACACACACACACACACACACACATTATGTTAACATGTTCTATCACACATTAGGTTAACATGTTCTATCAGTAGATGGGGTCAGATCTATAGCAACTTCATTTTTTATATTTTACAATCAGTAATACAGTTATTGTAGTACACCATTAAAAAAAAAAACCATTGTGTCAACTATTAGCTTACGAAGGCTTCCCAGAATATATAGCTAAGAAAATTAAAAATAAAGTTAATCAGTCCTTAAAACGTTGCTCAGTCTTTCCCTATTCAAGTGGCAGATGAATTCACTTTGATGTATGCCCACTTGATTGAGGTGGTGAGGAATGATGTAAAAATCTTTAAGCATGTTTATAATTCTTTTTAATAAGTGGCTGGATACCTAGCCCATATTTCCTTATATTTTCTTCTGAAAGGAAGGATCAATGTTTCCACAGACATCCTAGATTTGAGAAGAAAGAACTTTGGGGAAACATCTCATCCAGCTCCCTTATACTGGGTGATTAAATAGTAACCCAATTTTATAGGCGAAACAACTGAATGTGTTGAATTGCTTCATATTTTTTTAAAACGATTTTTAAAAACTATTTTTAACTTTATACAATAATACATATTCATTGTAGAAAATTTGAGAATATAAAAATACACAAAATAAAAATCATCCTGGAGTAACTATCGTTTACCATGTACCACCTCCTAAATACATACGTATCATCACATATGTATTTCATGCTCAGTGCTCTTTGAGGAAAAAAGAGAAGGCAAAGTGGAAGAGCTGTTGGTCCATCTGATCTAAGCCTGGAATCAATGTCTACGTATTTTTAACCATCTTCTTTAATGTGTCTCTACCCTTGGGCCTTACTGACGATAGATTATAAATGAGGTGCCAAGATTCCTAGTTAGAAAATAACACTAGGGTTGTAGGCAATTCCTTACCTTTCTTTTCCTGAATAGAGACCCAAGAAATTGTAAAGGAAATACGATACTGCAAACATGCCTTTATTTTTGTGAGGTAACACTGGAGGTCCCCATGTTGGCCGCGGCAAAGGGCAAAGGCAGTCCCATGCTTAACAGAGCGAAGAGCCCTACAGAGGAAGAAGTTAACTTTAGCTTTGAAAATCCTTTTATCCTCCATGATTTTGATGGCTTTAAATTTGTCACCTGAATGCGATATTAACATAATCGTCTGCATTTCAGCTAATGAATGCACCTGCTTCTAAGACTTTATTTTAGCAGTTTTAATGAGCTCTTCAAAAGAGTTTGCCTGGACTTACTGTGCGGTTAGAGAAATAGCAGCTGTAAGCAACTAACAACACATTCAGTATTTGAATCAAGCTCTGTGAAGTTGTTAAACTCGAGAAGGAGTGTCTATCCATCTGTCTGTGATAAGGGGAATGAAGCTGAGATGTAGCTGTGATATTTGGAGAAAGCACTAGTGTAAGTGGGGCTGGCCAAAGGAGGTTTTTCCCTGCTTGGCCATAATATATGGATCCCAGGCAGTTCATTTAAGCTCACTATATCCCAGTTTCTCATCTTTATAATAATGGTGCCTATCGGTGTGCCTGGGTGGCTCAGTCATTAAGCGTCTGCCTTCGGCTCAGGTCATGATCCAGGGTCCTGGGATCAAGCCCCACATCAGGCTCCCTGCTCCGCGGGAAGCCTGCTTCTCCCTCTCCCACTCCCCCTGCTTGTGTTCCCTCTCTCGCTGTGTCTCTCTCTGTCAAATAAATAAAATCTTTAAAAAAAAAAAATAATGGTACCTATCTTATAAGCTTGTTGTAAAGATGAAATGCCTCACCTGTTGAAAGCACTCAATTATGCTTAATTTTATTATAATTATGTTTATTACTAAATAGATGTGACTCTAAGTCAATCAATCAAATTCTATTTGATTGGCTATGGGTTGTAAGATGGTTCTTAGGTGAATAGCTACTCATTGAGACCTATAGGGGAAAAAAACCCAAACTGATCTCTTGTGTTTAAGGAATCAGGAAGTTTATTTCAATGCTGAATCATGTCTTAACTCCACAGTGAAGGTTTTTTTTTTTTTAAAGATTTTATTTATTTGACAGACAGAGACACAGCAAGAGAGGGAACACAAGCAGGGGGAGTGGGAGAGGGAGAAGCAGACTTCCCGCTGAGCAGGGAGCCCGATGCGGGGCTCGACCCAGGACCCTGGGATCATGACCTGAGCCGAAGGCAGTCACTTAACGACTGAGCCACCCAGTTGCCCTCCACAGTGAAGATATTTGAAAGAGAAGATGTCAACCAATTTCTAGAAGTCCAAATTCCTAAATAATCTAAATGTAAGCCATTTAGAATTTCTAAATATTATGTAGATGCTAGGGTACTAGAATAGTTACTTACTTTTAATATATATTTTAATACTTATATTATCAAATTCACTCCATGCTTATTAGACTGATTTCAAAATCACATTTTCATGATGGGACTCTCCCTCCTCCTTTTTTTACATATGTTCCTCTGTATACTTTAATTTGGAATGTAGTAATAACACATTTAACGCTCAATTGAATGGAAAACAAAAAATAGGACAAATGTTGCTTTAAAGATACACACAGCAGATATGTTACAGATCAATTGGAGGTAACACTGGGAATAAAGATGCCACAGATTTTTATCTCCCTCTTTTTCTCTCTCAGTAAAATAGGTAGCACAGAGGTGAGCTAGCTGTTAAGAAAATGGAAATTTTTCCTATTTCTTTTTTATTTTATTTCAGTGAACGTGAAACAATTATTCTGGCTGAGATGGAAGTAATTTATTTCCCAGATTCCTGTTCCTCTTTACACCACGCTGACCAACAGCCTTCCTTCAATAATTGGAGCTAGTCCACTGGTGTTTCACCCCACATGCCACAATGCTAGGGAATCACTGAGGAAATGGGACCAGCATAGGAATCCTCACCACCTTTTTTGTTACAGGGGTTTCTCTGGAAAGGCGTTGCATTCTAGAAAGCACCAACTCCAGCCTGCTAAGTAGGCAGCCTCTGGTAACTGTATGCATCCTGACATTTCAAAAGATCCTTTTTATTCAGACTTGCATGAAGCATCTTTCCAGAAGGCATTCAGTTCTACTCTTAGACCCTAGCTTTGTAACCTAAGAAAACGACCCCAAGGGAGCTCACCTCTGACTGCCCTTTGACTCTGTTTTGCTGTGGAAGGCAAGCTGACCTCATAGTGATGAGGTTTGTTTATGGTCTGGTGACTCAGTGTGGTCCTCAGAAGGGCAGCATCAGCATCAGCTGGGAGCCTGTTAGAAACATAGAGTCTTAGGCCCCACCCCAGAGCTACCAAATCATAATCTGCATCTTAACAAGATTCTCAGGTGATTTATATGCTTGTTTACATTTAAGAAGCAGTGGTCTAAGGAATCTGCCTGAGATTTTTTTTTTGCTGCAATAGAACTCACCATCTCCTGTTCCAAAGTTGTATCCATCCACTTTCCACTTCCAGTCTCTACACAGATTTCTCTGCAGTGCTCCAGAGCAAACTATCTCTATTTTGGATGAGTTCCCACCCCGTGGGTCTTGTACTGATCTGCATTTCTATGGTTCGGGTGGTCAAATGTGTATACAGCCCAGCCTACAACTAGCCAACCATACCCATTCTCCAGCAAGTCATCTTGCCCTCCTTCTTCCCACAGCTGGAGCGTTACCATGTTCATAAATTATTGTTAAAGAAGGAAATTACCAAAAGAAAAAAAATAGTCTCCGTAAACCTGCATAGTTTAGAGCTAAAGAATATGTTAAAATTTTCCATCGTGGAAATTTCCCAGCTACTGGGCTCTTTAGATTTTTTTTTTTTTTCAGAGCTGCAAGCAAAGAATGGAAATTTCCAGTTGCAGCATCAAGGACTGCTGTTCTGCTGACTGTCTTGCTCAGCCAGGGTCATCTGCTTCTCTAAGACATCAAGGAATGCCAAGGTAGGTCTGAGAGAACACACACACCTCCTCTGCAGGAAGGAAGGAATGTCTTTGTGCTGCCTCCAAGCTGTGATAAGGAGAGGGGCGGGAGAGGTGACGTGCCCTGCTCGTCCACCTGAGTGTGAATTTTGTTGATCGTTACCACCTATCAGCAGCTTATCGTATTTGACATCTTTCTAATGACAGCTGGCTGACAGGTCTTTTGTTTTTTTAAGAGATCCCTAAGGTGGGTGGGAGATGCAAAGAGAGGGAAGAAACCAACATTTATTGAGGTCTACCCTCCTAAGTACTCTGCCAGCTATTTTATATACATCATTTAACCTTTGTGTGATCTGCCCAAGGTTAACTTCTGATTTCCTGAACCCACATTTTGGAAGCTTCGTTTGTTCTTCCCGAGACAGCTCTACCTCCCCCCAACCCTCCCAGAAACGAGTCATCTGCAAGCATCCTGAAGGGCTCCTCTCCACCTCTTCAGTAATAACACTCCAGTTCCTTTTCATGCTGTCGAAATTGACATGCATTTCCATTCACAGCTGATCCCGATGTCTGAGACAACAGGCGTCCAATAGTTCCTCAAATCCCATTATGTTCTTCCCCATGTCCTGCGGCCGTTACACAGAAGTCTGATGGTGACAATGCCATGGAAGACCATGTGTAAAGCCATTGGCTTCTTGAGAACAAGGCCAAACACCCTGTCTGGCTCTAGGCTGGAAAGAGCGTTCTTAAATCTAGGTTGGGGGGCTTGTCTGGGTGCTTTGGCAATTTTGATTTTGTCTTTAGTAGTTTGTTTCGATTTGTAGGGGATTCTGAATGACTGTAAGGAGTAAGAGCTACATAGGGTTACTCTCTTCTTACTGACAACCCATGGTACCAGGAAAAGAACAGTTAAGGAGGATTTCTGACATCCACTGTTGCTATTTATGCTTATTATTTATTGAAGCAAGTTTGGTAGTAATGAAGATATTCCAGGAATAAAAAAAAAGTGTCACATGGCTAGTGAGTTTTAAAAAAGAAAATTTATTCCCTACCTGTATTTTTTATCACACCTGTATCCATAGATAGCAATGTTGTCTTTGAATACAGTGACCAATTTTAATGCCAACCCAAAACAGAAGTGGACTGGAATGGGAATGGTCAGCGGGAATATTGTAGGTCTGTTTAGGCTTTAGTCTCAAAAGCTAATGTTTAGTTTAGTCATTGGTTACTTCTCTAATAACGATTTTGCTTATTCTGTTAATCCATTAAAATGGAGTCTGATTCCCTGGTGAAATTTGTCAAGTGGCATTTTAATATGGGTCTGGGTCTCCTATGATAGTACCATTCCTCTGACAGGCTTCTTTCCACTCCTCCTCTGCTTCTGTCATTAACTAGAAGATATCGGTCCTCTTAGTTGAAGACACTGATGATTCATACCTGTGGGTTGGGCTGAATAAACATATGATGCCTATTCTTTTCCACTTTAGACCACAGAGTTGACTTTAAAAAAATATATATTTTGGTTGGAAAAATGCTGATCTAGATGCTGTTTGATTGACTTCAATCATGGCCCCAATTCTCTCCCTCTTGTTTCTCTACCCCTGGCAACGTGACTTTTCAGCAATTCACACCAAGAGTTAGAGTCTATTCCCCGGCTCCTTGAATTTAGGCTGGGCTTTGACTTGCTTTGGCCACTAGAATGCAACAGAAGTAACAGTGTGCCAGGTGCAAGCATAAAACTTCACGTGTGTGCTTCCATTTTCTTTCTTGGAACCCACCACGGATACTTGCCTAAGCCCATGCTAACCTGCTGGGGGATGAGAGATCATGTGGAGTAGAGATGAACCGGCCTAGCTGAGGCCATCCCAGACCAGCCAGGCCAGCGCTAACATACCAGCTGCCCACACATGCATGAGCAAGCCCACCAAGATCAGTCGGGCCCAGCCTGGATTAGCAAAAACACTCAACCAACTCACAGTCTCATGAGAAATAGTACATGGTAGCAGTTTTATTTTTTTATTTTATTTTTTTATTTTTAAAAGATTTTATTTATTTATTTGACAGAGAGAGAGACAACGAGAGAGGGAACACAAGCAGGGGGAGTGGGAGAAGGAGAAGCAGGCCTCCCGCCGAGCAGGACGCCCGATGCGGGGCTCGATCCCAGGACCCTGGGATCATGACCTGAGCCGAAGGCAGACGCTTAACGACTGAGCCACCCAGGCGCCCCATGGTAGCAGTTTTAAACCACTACATGTTAAAGTGGTTTGTGATGAAGCAATAGGTAATGGATAAAGGCGTCCAATTCCCTTCTTTTTTTTTTTTTTACCCCCTCACTGCCAGGAGCTCAGAGTCAAGTCTGAAGACCAATCACAGAATCTGTGTTTATTCACGTATACATATTTATTGAGCTCTTTATGGCTAACGTATTTGTAATGCTCTCTCTTCTTGGCAGAGAATTTTAAAAATTTAATAACCTATTGTTTGCCATGTTGGTTCTACACCAACTCAATCTTCTGTCTTAAATATTAGCTGATTTCCCCTTAGCATCCGATTAGAAGACATGACCCTACGTCAAGATTGGCAAATGTTTTCTGCAAAGAGCCTGCTGGTAAATATTTTGCTCCAAGCAGGCGGTACAGCCTCTGTCACTGTGCTCTGTTAAATAGCGCTAAAGCGGCTGTAGACTACATGTACGCAAATGGGCATGGCTGTGCTCCATAAAAAACTTAATTACAAAACAGGCAGTGGCGAGGATTTGGCCCTCAGGCCATAGTTTGCTCACCCTTGATCTAGAGAATCTATGTCACTATGCAAAAACAACTTCATCTATACGATGATCCCATCGACTCTGTTGTTAATTCAGCTCAATCACTTTGGAAAAGCAGATAAATGAAGCCAGTTCACGTCCTCAATGAGAAGACAAGAAGGGGCTGACCACAGCACGGTACTGCGTGGAGACTAACAGCATTTGCATGAAGGCAAGTACTATACCGAACAACGTAAAATTCACCAGACACTGGGTCGGGGACTGGTTATGTAGTCAATGCCAAAGGCCAAGGTGACACAAACGATGTTGCATTTGTTTTGTTTCATTTCCCAGCCTCTGATCTCACACGCTGATTTAACAAGCACACGCTGTATGTCGCCACAAGGATGGGACTCTGGCCGTACTTGCCCACTCGGAGCTCCCTGAATGTATTGTGCTATTTCACGGCTCTCTAGTTCTGCACACAATGTTCCTGCTGCCTAGAACACACTTAGCCCTCTTCTCTTACTGGCTAACACCCACTCACTGATCAAAACGAAGCTCAATGATACTGCCTCTTGGAAGACTTCCCTGAGTGCACCTCCACCTCCTCGCCCTCAGCCTCTAGTCCATGCTCAAAGTCTCAGCATTTATTCTACCAAATTAATAATTAAAATAGCTAAGAATGCTTATACGGTGCCAGGTTCCTGTGTGGCAGGCACTGTTAAATATAGTCATGTAACTGAAATTATCAGTATCCTTGCCCATTTCCTCAATCCAGTCATACATTCAAACACATTGATTGAGTACCTCTTTTGTGCTAGGCACAGAAGAGAAATAAAGCCCGAGGCTCTAATGTAGCGTGTAAGCCCACTGAAGGCACATACTGTATCGTATTTGTTTTTATATCTCAACATGTAGCGGTGTCCAGAGCAGAGGTTTAACATTAATATTAGAAGACTGAATGTATGAAAACAGCAGATGCTTATACAGGGAATAATATGTGCCGGGCAAGGTCCTAACGTGGGGGATTGAAGGCACAGAGAGTTTTTAACTAACGTGCCCATAAGGTCACACATGTGACAGAGCTGGTTCTAGAATCCACTTTCATAACCAGTGGGTGAAATGAAAGCCTGAATGACTCAGCATAAATCCATGCCACTCCTGAAAAAATAATTCAGTGGCTGCCTCTTTGAGGGCAGGGGTGGTCCAGCGGTAGCCATTCTGTGCTTGGGCTTTGGAGTCAAACAGCATGTGTTCACATTTGCTCTCCAGTGCTCAGTGTTGTTGGAAGCATTGACCGTGCCTCCAAAGCGTACCCTCACATTTGCGCACAGCACGTTACGGTTGCATTCCCACTCCAAGTTGATTTCTCCCAGGCCCTCTCCTCCTCTCAGGTGGGCAGGCATCAAGGCTGGAGGAGTAACTCCAGCACTGCTCTGCCATGTGACTGCTGGGTTGTATAGGAGATCCATCCATGCTGGCCTACTCCAAAGGACATGTAAGCAAATTAGCACTTTGAAGAAGGCTGCACGGGAGTGTCCATAATGCTGGTAAGCCTGGATAACCATGTGCATTATTTTAAAGGCTTGCTACCAGACACTCATTGATGGCTTTGGAAGTCCCCATGGAGGCTCCCAGGGAATACGCCACTCAGTGGGGGAGCCACAGACAGTGACTGGCCTGCAGCTGTCTCTGAGGACAGGTTTACTCTGCCAAAAAAGAAAGAACAGATATTTCCAGTAGAATTTTGCTTCTAAAACAAAAATGGGTTTGGAAAGTTTTAGGTTTGAGCATTAGAACATCAGGAAATAAAAGTGCTCACGGATTCCCCGCAGACTTTTGAAGTGCATGGTTCCTCTGAGGGTAGAACAAATGTGCCCATTTTTCTATCTCTAGGCAGTTTTCTTAAAAAATTTTGACTCTTCCACTTTTCTCCCTTTGCAGTTAGGTAAATAGGAGGAGGCAAAGAGGCACTTTGCTTCGTAGCCTCCTTTGATGGCCTGGAGGATCTAATGAAGATGTGCTAGGACTAGCTTCCACCACAAGCTTCCGGTTCTCATTGGAGGCTCAACAGAGGCTAATAAGAATTCAGCAATTTAAGAATTGGCTCTTGCAAGCAACCATGTGTCACTGGGGAGCTGTGCAAGATTGTACCCGCAAGTACAGGATAGTGTATGAAAAGATATTGTCTTCTCCTTTCTCCTCTACAGGCTTTCCTCCCAGTCAAGAATCAATCATGGGACTCCTCCAGGAAAGCATGTATTGCCTGGCTGGAAGACTTGAGACACATTCGGTTGACCAGTGTTCTTGGGCACCTACAAATGCATGTTTCAGTGCTTGGGTAGAAGTTATCATGCCTTATTTTCCAATTAAAATAACACAAATGTTATTGTAGTTATAGCCCATTTCATACAGTTTAATGCTTAATAATTCTCTGCTTGCTTTCTTATGTAAAACTTATATCTTCCCATCTAGATCATAAACTCGCTGAGGGCAGGGATCATGGCTTTACTTCTTTTCAATCCCCCACAGGACCAAACACAGGCTAGAGAAGCATAATACTGGGTGGTCAGCAGGGAATGACCACAGGACAGTGTGGAGATCTGGGTGGTTTCTGGGCCCCCGGCCCCATCTAGCTGGTATAAGACCTTCAGGAAGCACTTACATTTCTGAGATGTGATTTCTTCATCTTAAGAGTGCTCCACTTACCTCACTGGTTCGTTGAGAGGATCAGGTAAGATAATGTATATGAAAGTATTTTGTAAACCAAGATTTGCTAGCTTTAAAGTGTGAGCAATCATCAGAAGAGGCATTTAGTAAAAATCTGATTGATTTGTAATGATAAAATATTGTCTTCCCTTCTTCCCTATATCCAGTTTTAGGGGTTTTATTTCTCAGCATTTAATTTTATCTGAGTGGCAAAGCCACTCCACATCTTCCTGATACCGTGTAGTGTGCATTTCACCCTATTGTTAAAGTTGGGTTGAAATCTAAGCAAACCAACCAGAAAAGTCACCAAGCATGCGATGGTCACATCTATCACACAGGCCTCCTGGACACCAATGCATTTGTACCCCACTAGAGTTCCACGGCCTTTCTTGTGTCGCATCTACCCACTCACACTGTACCCTAGGCAAGGATTATGTATATTTCTATATTCTAGCATTTACTTGATACATGAGAGTGGCAGATCATCGCCCTAAGCCCAGGCCAGCTGAGAAGAAAATGAAGAAGCTGCACCTTATATGAGAAATTTTACAAAGGAAGACACTATGAAACAGACTTTTAGAATGGTTCATTTATTTATAATATTTATTTCCTACTTGTTCTTAGCAAAGAAGCAGTCTCTCTGTAGTACCAGAATTCTATACAATTCATGAGAAAACTCTCCTTTCAAACATGGTTATTCCTCAAATACTTCTGTAAGATATAAAATTTAGTCACAGGGTTTTTTTTCCTCACTTAACTCATGAAAGCTGGATGAGTCTATTATTTTCCAGGTTCGATCACAGAGTATCCACTGCAGGATTAAGACACAGGGTTGAAGAATTTTGTTGATATACTGAATCCAAACCAATTGTGAACTCCATTAATGAACATATTTATGATACCTTTTTTATGGGCATATAAAGAGGAATCTGTGTTTCAGAATTAACTGATCCAGAACAGTTTTTGGAAACCTTATTTCTTTTCTTTTTAAAACTCATTACGGAAAGTTTCAAACATACCCAAAGGTAGAAGAATAGTATAAATGACAGGTCCATCATTATGGACCTGTCATCCAGCTTCAACATAGGGCCAATCTTGTGAATCCTCATTTTTAATCAATATTAGTAGCCAATAAAATTAAACTCACACTACATGCTAATTCAAATCTCATAACATGTTTATTTATCTATAGTTTCCTAAAATAATTGTATTTTTGTCAGACACTCTTCTTTTTCATTCTCGTATCTCTCTCACTTCTCTTGAGGCTGAAGTGGGTCTAGCTTCTTACATAGTCCATACTAGAGGGAAAATACTTAGCGAGAGGACAAGGTGGGACATTTTAAATTTATTACTTTATTAATTTTTCTCTACCTGTGACATTGTGCCTTGCTCCTTTTGACTAAAGTGTTGCAGGAAAATAGTGATAATGGAAAAGGAGTCACTTCCAACAACAGAACTGAGTCTTTGTCCCTTTGCCCCAATGATATAATAGCGAGTGACAGAATGAGGGGTCACTCCATTCTTGATCCTAACAAGAGAGAGAGCCAGCCCCAAGACAAATATTATAACCCAAATGTTTCAAGGCTGAGCATTTCTTGTATATATTATTGAATATATTATTTTGATATATCTTGAATATATTATTTATTAGATATATATAAAAATTTTGCAGAGTACAAATAATTTGCTGTATGGAATTATTGTGGTAAGATTCATCAAAATACATACCAATTTGTAGCCAAATCATACCCCCAGGGAATCTAAAATAATAATAATTTTTTAAAAGAAGTAAGTTAGGGGTGCCTGGGTGGCTCAGTCGGTTAAGCATCTGCCTTTGGCTCAGGTCATGATCCCAGGGTCCTGGGATTGAGCCCCGCATCTGGCTCCCTGCTTAGCGGGGAGTCTGTCCCTCTCCCTCTGCCTACCGCTCTGACTACTTGTGCTCGTTCTCTCTCTCCCAGTCAAATAAATAAATAAAATCTTTAAAAAATATATTTAAAAACTAAAGAAGTAAGTTAGAATGATGAAGTTGGGTAGAAGTTATATGGCTTTAGCAAAACTTTGGTTTCTTCTTTTACATTGTGCCCCATGATAAAACAGCAAAATTCCTACCTAGATGGTAACACTTGTACCATTCGCTTAATTTTAAGATCCTCAGTTGCTCTTGGGAACAAGTATACTGCTGTGGCATGAAGTGGAAGGTATAATTTGAAGCCAGACTAGAGAAAAAAAGCTCCTTTTAGAAGTAATGTATTCATGAAAAGGTAAAAGTATCAAGAAAGGCTTAATAATTTCACCAAGTAATCTAAAGCTAAATTTCATATGCAAGTTCCTTACAGAACTATAACAAACTTTGTAGAACTCAAGCCTTCCATGGAAAAAGGTTTTAAGACTTCTTTTAAAACCAATACCAAGGGAATAGTCAGCCACAGAATGTACTGCAGTCTTACTCACTGTTGTTTGCTTTATCACTCATGAGAACTTGCTTTGCATTCAGTGAAGACTTAGAGAAATGTAAGGATGAATACTTATCATAATTCATTCCCATGTGGACTTTCAAAATCCAGGATAATAGCTTTTCTTTTTCCTTCAATAATTAGACTCTGAAAGGAATCTGGAAACTGCTACACACAGGAGTGGTGTTCAGTTGAAACAGGGCTCATTTCCAGCTCTGCTTGAGTTCATTGCTGTCTACGTGTGATGTTGAAGGGAGTGAGGAAAATAAACTTCCTTAATTATTACATGGTGCCAATGACCTTCCTCTACTTTTGAAGAAATACATTGCATTTCTTCCTTAGTATATTCACAATGAATCTCTGAGATACAGGGATATGGTTATTCAGTCAGAAAAAAACAAAAAACAAAAACATTTAATTATTTAAGAGACCTAAGCACTTCATGTGAAAACTTTCAACTTAACAGAGGGGAGGGAAATAACTCTTAAAATAAGATCAAGCCAGTAAACCTAAGGAAAGGGGAGCGGGGGGGGTGGGAGGGAAAACAACAACAACAACAACAATGAAGCATTGTAAGGAATAAAAAAAAAAGAATAAAAATAAATATATCTATTACCATAAAAATTGAATGAGTTGAATTCCCCTTTCAAAAGACAAACTTTCAGATTATTTTGAAAGACAAAATTATGCTATGTATAAGAAATTCACTTCAAACTAAGTGACAAAGAAAGTTTGAAAATAAATGATTGGGTAGATATATGTCAGACAAATCCAAAACCAGGAGTGACAGTATTAATATCAAATTCAAGGCCAAAAACATTAAATAGGAACAAGAGGATGGAATGATTAAGGGCACAGTGGCAGAGATTGCTAGATGCCTATGCCATCCATGCCCATCCCTTTTTCACCCTTGCTAACAAAACCTCAATTTAATTTGGCACAGCAATGTGTACAGATAAAAACGAATTAATTTTCCTATCCTCTTTTACAACTGGGGTAGACAGTAAGTTGTAAGCAGAAGTTAGTGGGTGGGCCTGCAGATGTCTAATTAAGCTGGAAGCTACTCCTTTCTGCCTTCTTTTTCCACCTTCATGACTGGAATATACATGTGATGGCTGGAGCTGCAGAAGCCATTTTGCAACCATGACTTGGAGAACAGACACCAGATACTAAAAGGCATCAGAGCAGGAAGACAAGTGGAGCTTGCATTCCAGATGACCATGGAGCCTCTATACCAGCCCTCAACTTTTTACCACCAGGTATTTTTTATGTTTGAGAAAAATACATTTCTGTTTATTTAAGCCACTATTATTTTGGTATCATTTTACATGGAGTCAGCTCAATTTCCTGTGGTACAGCTATAAACTTGAAGAAAATATAATAATTGTCAGCTATTACGCACTAAAAAATATAGCATAAAAATTTTAAAAATCAAAACCACTAGAGAGTTTTAAAAAAGAAAAGAAGAGAGGGCGCCTGGGTGGCTCAGTTGGTTAGGCGACTGCCTTCGGCTCAGGTCATGATCCTGGAGTCCCTGGATCGAGTCCCGCATCGGGCTCCCTGCTCGGCAGGGAGTCTGCTTCTCCCTCTGACCCTCCCCCCTCTCATGTGCTCTCTCTCATTCTCTCTCTCTCTCAAATAAATAAATAAAATCTTAAAAAAAAAAAAAAAAGAAAAGAAGAGAAAAAAACCCACTAGAAAGACATGCGGAATTTGATGAAATAACAACCATAGTAGTAGGTTTTAATGCAGCTCTTTCAGAATTTGATAGAATATGAAATCAAAAACAAGCAAGAATACAGAAGACTATAATATAACTTACAAGCTTATTACACATGCATGAAAATATGGGTTTATGTATGTGATTAGTATAGAGGAGAAAAACAATAAATTTACACTTTACAAAAAGAGAACATGCAATCATTTTATTGGTGTATGGAATATTTACAGAACCAATCATATACTTGGCCATAAAGGACAAGAGCTATTGTAATATAGGGTACAGAAGAAAGGCGCCTGCATCCAGACACTCTGCTCCACAGCGTGCTGGCAGAGTGACCTTGGGCAAGTGACTTAACCTTCCTGGGTTTCGTTTCTTTATCTATAGAGTTGGGATCATAATAGCTAGAAATTTTATCTTTTATAATTACTACTGTCTCTCCCAGCCCAGCATTTTCCAGCGTGATGCCCATTTACCTACACAAAGCTGCTGGTGCCTCATGTCACTGACTCTAGGTGGAGGTGCCAGGCCATCAGATGGTCATCACTACTTCCCCGTGGGAGGGTCAGCAGTGGGAATAGGAGGTTAACATTTCTCAGACTGGCCTCAACTGACCAGTGAGCACAACGCTGTCTAGCACAGAATTCAAGAGCACCAAAAGAATGTTAAATGGATGAATTGTTACTTGCAGGAAAAGAAACAGGAACCATGTTTCCAATTATTCTTCATTTCAGACAACAACTAGCTGTTTCCGCTGGCTGGCACAATATAGCTGAATGGGGAACACTATTGAGTAAACTCTGCTGAAAAAAGGATGAATGTGGGCCAGTGAATTTTTTGACACAGTCCCAGCTTTATTTTTGCTTATTGCTGGCAAGCTTATATGAGGGACATTAAAAAACAGTTGAGAAAAACTTTGTAAATAAGGCTTAAAGGACAAGAAGTCTCCATAGCCCCTCAAAATATAAACTTTTTTGTACCAACAAGGCTCATTTGTGACATAAGACAGGACCTCTAAATTTAGCTGTTGGTTAGAAAAAAGAGAAAAACACTTAATATAAATCTTAAAAAAAACCAACATTTCTTAGTATCACAAAAGCAGAACACTGAAGTACTTAAAATATTTTAACATAAAGAAAGTATTTTCATGAGCAAGCACTTTAAAGATTTTTTTTTTTTAAATCTATTTATTTGACAGAGAGAGAGACAGCCAGAGAGGGAACACAAGCAGGGGGAGTGAGAGAGGGAGGAGCAGGCTCCCCGCCGAGCAGGAAGCCCAATGCGGGGCTCGATCCCAGGACCCTGGGATCATGACCTGAGCCGAAGGCAGATGCTTAACAACTGAGCTACCCAGGCGCCCCATGAGCGAACACTTTAATATATGAAAATATATGACTCTGAGGATACTATTAATTGTATATTTTAATAATTATTCCATATAAGGGTGGCTGGGTGGCTCAGTCAGTTAAGCATCCAACCCTCGGTTTTGGCTTAGGTCATGATCTCCGGGTTGTGAGATTGAGCCCCACATCGGGCTCTGAGCTGGCATGGAGCCTGCTTAAGATTCTCTCTCTCTTCCTCCCCCTCAACCCCCCCTCAAAGAAACACATTATTTCATATAAGTAAATTATAAATACATAGGCTATGTTATAAATTATAAGTATTCAATGTTTATATATTTTTAATAAAATTAAATGTAATAAAATATTAGCTCTATAAACACATTGAAGTTTTATCCCTGAACTTAGAGGGAAAGCAGAAATGAACTAAAGATAGTAAGTTTCCCCCACTCATTTTAGGTCACAAACACTTGATAAACTATCTGACGTCAACAGGGAATGAATGGGGCATGTGTTCCTTTGCTTTGGGGGATCTACAATATCATCAGCAGAGTGATATTTATGTTTTTGCATATTTTCATATGTTTCACCTCAAACATATTGATGAACAAGTAGATAAATTCAGGGTGGTTTTTATTTTTTTCTCCAAAATATATCCTAACTCTCTAGCTGTTCCTAATTTCTCTCAGCATTATCTTGGTGTATCAGTTCTTCACCAATCCTATTCATTCCTCTCTTTAGAAAGTTTTGTGTGACTACAAAATCGGCTCCCACCTTTCTGCTTAGAATGACCTTCTTACTCACTTCTGCACACATAAATGAATAGCCTTTCTCAGCATCTGTCTAAGCTGTTGTCATTCACAGAGGCTCCATATTCTTTCTGTGTATTAGAGAACATCAAATCCAGGAAGAAGGTTTTTTTCTCCAATTGTGGGGTTTCAGACTTACTCAGATACAATTCAAACAATGCATTGCATCCCAAGTGAAGATACATATAGGGCACCCATTTATCAGGGAGGAAGACAGAGAGACTGAAACAGAGAGGAGAGAGGCAGAAATCAGACTTCCCCTGTCCAAACTGTACTAGAAGCGAAGATTCTGTACTTCTATAATCCTGCTGATTAGCACAATGCTATCAGGACTACATGAAATGTTTTTTATTCAACTTGGTAGATAGTAGTACATATTTACCAGATTGAATTGATTAAATCAGTGTTAAGAACTACATTAAAGTGATTAGAGGAATTTTTTTCTGGTCTAGATTTTTTTTAAAGGAGATTTTTTTTTTTTTAAATCATTCTCCAAACTGTCTTCCTAAAATTTGTATGAGTCTATCTAATCACCTAAGGCACAGGATCATCTTGCATTCCTGCCTTCTCCCAACACACTGAGGTTAGATGTCTCATGCTGCCCTCATCCTTGTGATGGGAAGACACGCCACAAAGTAATTTTAAAGGATAAAGAAGGATTAAGAAGAACAGAGAAGGGGCTCTGAGGAAGATGCATCATATGAAACCAGCAATCTTTCTTTCCACGTAATTTGTAAAGCTTTTTTGAATCCGTCTTGTCCCGTTGTTTTCCCTTCACAAAGCAGGGAACTCAGTTATGCCTATTAAGAACTCCATCTGCCTCAGAAAAAGGACAGATCGAGGGGGCGGGATTGTGGGGGGAAAGATGGGGATTAAAAGTCTTTAAAGTTTGAACAAGAAGAAAAGTGAAAAGTGAAAGTGAAATTTAATTGTCAGTTTCTTCTTCAAACTTGACTTCTGGTTACAAGATAATTTGCAGTAGGCGACCACATTTTTTTACAAACCTAACAGGCATCATCATTCTGGGACTCTGCTGTGTCTCTCTTCCACTTGCTGGTCAATATCTCACTCAGAATCCAATCATTTACAATGAGTCACAATGCATGACTCAAGATTCAACTAGCTACAGTATTTTTCCTCATATTAGATTTAATGTTCCTTCAAGACTGGCTTGTAGGAGTGTTACTTCCCCACTCCCAGGTAGCTATAGATTTTTGTTACATTGTATCTGTTGTATGAGTGTGTGTGTGTGTGTGTGTGTGTGTGAATAAAATATAATGGGTACACATATAGTGTTTGAATAGTTGTATAATCAGCAGAGTGATATTTGTATATCAGGAGGTTAAAGAAACAGGAGGTTAAAGAAAATATTGATTTCACCAATTCACCCAAGGAAAAGACAAATGAGCTAAAACACATACCGTATTACAGAATACATCTGATTTCATTTTTAGAATCAAGTAATTTTTACTCAAATTTTACACATTTGATTCATCATTTCTCATAGGCTAGGGATCGAAATTTCCCTCATACATTTGAATTATTCATCATAGATGTCAAATATTACACAAAGATTTATGGTGAAATTAATACTGTGGATCAGGTATACGTGGCTGCTCCCCAATTGCATTTGACAGCATTTCCATCTTTTGGTGGTTCCTGAAAACTCTAAAAACAGGTTTGCATAAGTCAGAGCCTTTCTTCCTACAGTGAAAACAGGAGACATTTCCATTGGCTTTCATGGTGTGCAAGATAGGTAAATTTGAATTCATATCATCTAACTTTGCTGGGTCTTCAAGTATGAGCACTAATAAATGAATCCTTGTGCAGCTAGATTAATCAGCCCTGAACCAAATCCTTCTAAGACTCTTCATGGCTTCTGGCCAAGGGTGACAGGCTCAAGCTCCTAGGCCTTGCCTTCATAGCCTTTCTCCACTGGCCCCAATTTGCACTTCTACTACATCCCTTTTGTGCGGGTCCCACTAATGTCCTCACTCTTCCCCAAACATATCCTGTACATTTCCACCTTTGGACATTGACTCAAGCTGTTCCTCTTACCTAGAATATTTTCTTTTTGTTCTACAATCCCAACTCTTACTCATTCTTTTTGTACATTTTGTACTTTTTAGTCACACAAAGTAATGTATGGCCACATTCTCTTTGGAAAACTATTCAAACAATATAGAAGTATATATACAGTAAAAACTGAAAGTCCCTATGGATTCTAGCCCTTCCCTCTACTCCCCACCATCTGCCAATGGCACTCCTCCCCTCCCAATTTGCTAGCTACCCTTCCAACTCTTTCTCTCTGCATTTAATATTACAAATACAATTTTTGTTTATTTCCTTTTTAAGTAAGTAGAGTTGAACTATACACTCTGTTCTGTGGC